TCCCGTGTAACAGACGTCTGCTTTCATAAAAAGATTCAACAAGCGCCGTCGGCGAACTATGACTCCTTTATTTACATTTGAACAAGAAACCAAAGCCAGCATCAACCTTTTTACTCCACCACTCACTGTGTGTTGGATCTCTTGCATCCCTGGTTAGTCAAAAGTCTGAATACTCAAATATTACTAACAGTGGTTCTAAGTAGAGGTCGGCCAATATTGCGTTTTCTATTGCTGATGTGCATTGCCAATTTTCATGGCTGATATTTAGATGTTTTCCACACTGTTTTCATGCTAAAATGTCACTAATGGCATCCGTTGATGCACACAATGCCTGAAGCTGAATCAGTTTTTGTACTCTGTATTTAACCAACTGTTGAATCTTAACTTTGTGCACTGCCCAGTGTTAAAGTCAGACTCATAAATAAAGTTAATTTAGAGTATTTATTATGCAGATGTTATTAGTGAATGCAAAAATGCATTTAAATTAAATGCTGCAACAGCACTGGGCGGCCCAAGGATGTGCCTGACTTTAAATCGGCTTTACTGAGGACAAATATCGGCCGATACCGATACCCGAAATATCGACAGACTTGTTTATCCGTCTGCCCTCAGTTCTAAGTCACAAATCTAAATGGTTTTCAGATCATACAAAGCTGAGTTTCAGGATGGCGAGAGTGAATCAAACACATCTAAGATCATTGCTGAGTGGCTTTGGAGGACGATCATGCAAACAAAGCAGAAGGTAAAGGAAAAACAAGGTGGTGGTTTGAAGTGTTCTCTTTAATTTGGCATTGGTTCAAAGCATGCAAATGTCAATAATGAATTCACAGAAGCAGAGATGAGGAAATCAGCGCGTTTTCCTCAGAGCCCCTGAGCAGAATTAGAAGTTATTGTATTTCACACAAGCTTTCCGGTGAATGCTAAACTTGTGTTACAAATAAACAAAATAATGAGGAGGTTAAAGGAAGAGCTAGCACGGGGCTTACATAGATCATTATAAATGTGTGCATGCCCAGGACAGAAAGTAGGGCACAGCGCCCTGCCAACGCCATCTATTGACCACAGCATGAACAAAAACAAGTTAATCAATTATCTGCTTGCGTGAGCCAAAAGCTGTTGGACAAGGTCAACTTTTACAACACTTTTGTTTCCACGAGATTCAAAAGGTCCTTAAGCTAGCACTAGGCAAAAGCAAGGGGCACAGCAAAGTATGGGGAACAATCTTAGTGTTGTCTAAACACTGAAGCCAGACAGACTGGAGCATGTCCTCGGGAGAGGAGAGCACCTTTCCCCCTTGAACAAAAGACAAACAGGGCAACAGATTTCCCCTGGTCTTGAGATAACAGAAACCCAACACCCTCATCCTCCAGTGGGGCTCTTTGTACGTCTAAGAGAGGGTCAATCAGCAGCCGCTGACAGATGTGTCTGCAGTCGATTTAGGAGAGGAAGCCATGTTGAGGTCAGATGCAGGTTTCTCTGCTCCGTCCCAACGGAAGGAAGACAAGGATCATGCCGGGACGTCCAGGATTGATCTCCTCACCCCACAGGATTTGACAGACAACACCTGGACTATGGGATGTACATTTGTTGTGCAGTTCTGTTAACACACTAACAGCACACAGGAAGGTGGGCTTTACTGGTCTAAGAATCTCCGTGTTGCAAACAAAAGTGAGAGTCCCTCCAGCTGGAAAGCAAACAAATCAGAAAACCTCCAGTGGAGGTCTGAGTAGTTCTGGCAGATGCTCCAGGCTTAAGTGTCTGTTCAATTAGGCACTCCAGTTAAGATGGCAATCATGGTTTAAACCATGCGCTGCTGTGTTAAAGCAGAAGGTGGAACATATTCCATCTCCGGCCACACGTAAGAACAGGAGGGCCTCGTTTATGTGACAGACAGTCCTACTTTACACCCCGCTGGGATATTTTTCCCTTTTAGCCAAAATTAGAAGTGAAATCCATTCTATGCATTCCGATATTCAAGTTTTCTATTCAGTTCAAGTTTATTTATATAGCGCCAAATCACGACAAGAGTCCTCTCAAGGCCCTTCACACAGTAAACGTTCCCTCACGGTCTAGTTCGTTAGGTCAGTCAGTAAAAAGTTCCCTATTTAAGGAAGCCAGCAGACTTGAGCAGCTATTAATTATTACAGCTGCTCTGCTGTGATGAACAGAAAGCTCCAGGTACTTCAGCATCCCTGCAGCAGGTGAATAAAACCTCTCAAATAAACCTGCTTGTTTACAGAACCTTAGTGGAGACCCTTTGGGCGTTGAAAGCTCAGTAATAAGAGAGGCTTGAGGTAATTATCAAAGGGATAAAGAATGGCTGGTAAGTCTGCATGTTGCAATGGAAGATGTGTACATCACACAGAACTGGTCCCTATGGCATCAACAAGGAGATGATATTCAACAACACAGATGCTCCATTGCAGCTCCACGCCCGCGGCTGTGGGGTCCGACTTGTCAGGTAGCCAGAGGGGGAAACACTGGAAACGGTGCAAGGCGAGAACGTGTTGGCTGGGTCAGCTCTGCTGTGCAACCATTGGCTAACAGACTGACTCATCTATGCTTTGGGCCCGAGGAGAAACAAATCATGCTGGTGTGTTTTTTTTTTATTTTGTTTTTTTATACATGAAACCAAAGCGGGTCAAGATGCACTCAAAGCTGCATCAAAAGCAGCGTAGATCCAGCCGGGATGAATATACGTCTGCATTCAGCTGCAAGCACGGAGCTGCACTCCCTATAGGAAATGAAAGGTTTAATTTATTTTACTAATTATGTCAGCTGAGTAAAGGCTAATTTACACGTCTATCAGCTCAGTTTTAGAGTTGCTCACACGCTTTAACAGATGTGCTTTCCGTAGGGAGCCCCACCCCGGTTTCACACTGGAAGCATCGGCGGCGTGAAACGCAGCGGACCGGTTTACTTGCAAACTTCAAAGGACTCGTGAAGTCACAAGATCCCTCGAGACTTCAGGTCTTGGTTTGATTATGCAATCCACCATTAAACCAAAAAGAAGCGGTTTGATGTCATACATGATGTTGTTCCTCTCCACTGCCAGGAATAAAGCCATGAAAAACACACCACTGCACTTCTGGAGCGATGCTGTGAGTAAATAAGCCGTTGGATCACACGTAAGCTTCATATGAAAATGCATCGCTGCAGTACTTTTATTTTGAAATTTACTGGGGATTTTACACATAAAGAGTGCGATTTCCTGTCTAGCTCTATGCTAGCTGCAGAATTTGTTGTGACCCAGAAGCAGCTCACAGCAGGACTAGAACCGGTCCCATCTTTAGCGGCGCGGCGCTTCTGGGACGAGCCTGGAAATTGCCGCGTTGCTGCTGGTTACAATCAGTCCATAGACCAAAATGGAGTCTATTTGAAGCACGCCGCTGATGCTTTCAGTGTAAAACTGGGGTGGGGCTCCTCCCCTTTCGGTCGGCTCATGGGTCCCCGGAAAAACAAAAAATTTATGCAAATCAACGGGGCTGAATGGGCTATTTTCTAATCTGCATTGCCTTACGTCCTGAATCGCACATATGCCGTACTTCAATTTAAATAAAAACTAATGATGCCTGTCACGTACTTTAAGATTTATCAGCTTGTAAAATTCGTAGTTCCTATGACTACAAATCAAACATCGGCGCATTGCATTTACAGCATGACATCACTACAGAACCTCCTCTCGCCTAGCGTAGCTGCTATGTACCTGATGGCCAGATTATGGTGGTCCTTTCCTCTTGAAGGAACGATTCAAAGCTCACTGAACTTACAGCCATTTCCCCTCAGCTTTTCACCATTTCTGGTTCAATTATGTCAATTTGGTGATGCACATTTTCAGCCCTGGACGTATTTTCACACAATACCTAAAATAACGTTTGCCCCGGTTCAAAAACAAGCACGTTCCTGGCATCAAAATGTATCTTTAAAATTCACGGACATCACAGGTGAAATCCATGATTAGAAAACTGTTTTAGCTCAACTGACTTGTGTTCATGTTTTGTTTTTCAGGGACCCTTGGTCTGATGGGCATGACTTAGGATACCTGGAGAGTGCTGCAAAGCGCTTTCACCTATCCCTGTGGGGAGCAGTGAGCTGCAGCTGTGGCTGCACTCGGGAACTATTTGGTGGTTTAACCCCCAATCCAACCCCTTAAGGCTGAGTGCCAAGTGGGGAGGCAATGGGTCCCATTTTTAAAGTCTTCAGTAAGACCTGACAGGAATTTGAGCTCCATTAAGACTCTACCACCAGGCGTGTCTCAGTCACTCTCTGTGAGACAGCAGAGCCCTTGCATCAATGACTCATGGAGCGGCGTGCTTCCAAACGGATGCAAGCAGAGATGAATAAATCAGGCTCAACATATATTGCTATGTTAGTAAATGTATATTGCTCTTCATATTTAAGCAAAAGGGTTTAGTGGATTTGGTTGAAATAACTTGGTTAAATTCAACATTGTGTTTCTTACAATCTAGAACGGCACACGTCTAACTTTTGTCATAAATTATTACAGTTTGCTGTGGCGTCATCTAAAATTCACCAACGGCTACAAAAGCTCATCTGGTCTGTGCTTCACACAAACGCAGTTTAAAAAGCATGTTGACTTCAGTTTTTATCACAAACGGCTCCGACTCTTCTTCTGTCTTTTCTATGGATTTATTATAAATAAAAACGTGATAATAAAAACACTTTAAACATACAAAACAGAAGGAAAGAAATGTGTAACAAATGAAATTATGGAAGAAAAGAAAAACGCTATTAAATAGCAAACAAGTAAAGGTGTATTCCACCATTTTAACCAGCACTCATCATGTCCACCGCCTCTTCCGGTGTAGGGGCTCATGTACGACCAGGATGAGCTTCTCTCCACGCCCCCTCGTGTTCCTCACAGGGAGCACACCTCCAGGGGAGGGGGGGGGGGGGGGGGGGGGGGCTAAGGAAGGAAGCCCCTCCTCCAGATGACATCAGTGGTCTATTGAAGCAAAGCTCGAGGCTCACACAACTCCACATTTGTACTGATGTCCACACTAGCACCCATGTCCTCTCACAGCCTGACGGTTTTATGTGTGTGTGCGCGCGCGTGCATGTGTGAGTGAGTGTGAGAGGGGGCTGCAGACAAACTGGGTAACAGGAGCTCTTTCTCTGGATCTGCATTTTCATCTCCAAAGCCTGGACTGGATTATTATTTTTTCTTCTGTGAGCCACATAACAGGATACCTGTTACTCCCTATTTGGGCGTTAATAAGAGGTAAGTGTGTGTGTGTGAGTGTGTGTGTGTGTGTGTGTGTGTGCTGCTCGAGTCCTGCTGGGAAAGTCTCCTTTCACTCTTTGGGATCCGTTTTTCTTCTTCTACCAGACTGGCGCGGATGAAAGTAAAACCAAGTCTCCTGGAGTTGAGAAGAAACAGTTCATTCCCTCGGATGTGCTCCCTGTCGATCTCTAGAATAGATCCAACAACGATGAAATTATTCATTTCAATTCTTTTTTTTTAACTGCGAGCAATCAAATAAAGCTCGTGCGCGAGTTCGCTGCGCGTCATTTGGCTCAGCTGCGCAAAAAACGGAAACGAATCTCAGTTGGTGATGAAATCCGCTCCATGCGGGAAAGTTCCCGTTTCGATCCGATGCTGCATCCCCAACGTGACCACGGCTTGTCACACACGCACGCACACACACACACACACGCGCGCACATTTTCCTCCCCTCCTCTTGATCGTGTTTATTAGAAGAGAAGCGCGCGCTCCATCAGATCCCTCCACCTCTACCATTATTTCCCCAGCTCTCCTCGGCCGGTTGACACCCTGACAGAGAGCGGAACGATCCGGGATGAGTCTGCGGACTTGGCTGGATCAGAAGGGCTCTGTCTGGCTGCAGCAGCCCGAGCGGACTCCCCGGTGCGCGGCTCAAATTGCAGCGCAGATCCCGCAGAGTTGGACGTGAAGGGGCAGCTGCAGACACTAAACGCCTGTCCTGCGTCGGCGTCTGGATCCCTCTGACCAGTCTGAACTCGTACAGCATCAGCTATGAATCAGTGGAACTGGCTAAATTCATCTAAAGTGCACCAATAAATACCAGACTGTTATAATAACCGCCTACATCCATAAACATCTGTAGCAGCTCATATGGACACGGATTCTTTTTTTGCTGTAACATCCATCCATGATAACAAACCCCACGTTCCTTTGCCTTCATACAAACTAGTATTTATCCCATTAGACCAACACAATAAAGTGGTATCCCTACTGGCAACACCAGGGCAGGGACGGTTGTTAATCCAATTTAACACTGCCTTTTATCTCCATGAGACGATAAGGTCATCCAGGCTTTAAATAATGGCTCTCAGGCTATGCCTAAGCTGCAAACTGATTTCAGTACACCACCGGTGATGGAGGCAAGCAAGACTTTGGTTTTCAAGCAAGGCAATGGCAGCCGATTGTTTTTCAGAGGAGAAAAATAGCCGCGGCAGTCATGAGGACAGGCCCAGTTCTTCTCTGATAGCTGCCTGAGGCTCAAGTCCCCAGTCCGTTGTTTTCAGAGGGAATTCACACGGAAGATTAACAGCTAACCAGGTCACTACAGATGGAATCCTCCAAGTCTAGAAAATGTAAAGCAGAAATTATAGATGACTGGGTCAGGGAGGGGAGAGATGCACTCTCACAGCCACCCAGACACATTTCAGATACATCATTCCACTCTAAGGGGTCTAATTTGGTCGGTTTCATAATTTATTTAGCCCGCCTAATTTGCATTCGACACCAGAATCAAGTTTAATGAGACAAATCTTTGATTTCTCAGAGAGAAAGTACAACCTGTGCCTCAGAACTTAAATACTGTGGGAATGGCTGAGACGAGGCGGCGAATGCGCCAGTAGGGAGGTTAACAAATCCCTTTATTTTGGGAAGGTGTCAGGCCTGTGCCGAGATAGGCTTCTGCAGCTTAACATAAGCATTCATGTCTGTGTGTTTGCTCGTCTCAGACACACACACACACACACACACACACACATTTTATCTTGCAGTGCCTACCACCCCCATGTGGGGAAAAACAATTGCAGCTGCTACAGATCTCTCCTTTCAGCCTGCTACAAAAGAGACCCCCGTCTGTCCCAGGCTATATGGTATTAATGGGGCAGCAAAAGTATCATCTGTTCAGCCCGTCTGAAGGCAGCACCAGGAGGCCACATACCAAATCCGTGGAACTGCCTGAGATTTTTGTCGGGTTCTCCTCTGACTGAAAAGTGTCCCTGTGAGTTCAGATGTGATCATGAATGTTCCATTGTGCTTCGCCAGCACGTTCGGCCCCTTGCCAGGTGTCTGGGCATCATGCATCTCACTCAAGGGTTCATCAAAGACGAGCACACGGAAAACAGCCAGGAGCTACCTTCTGATTCAGAACCACAACTAGGATGTGTGGGTTGAGTCACAGTTTGATAGCTTCCACAAGTTCCAGCGACTCGGTGACATCACAAACATTTCTGTGTCCCAAATCTGTGCAAAAATAATTTAAATACCAAGAAACTACACCCCATGCAATCAATCATAGTTGTAAATGATATTGTGAATTAGAGTGATTATCAACGTGACGTACAAACAAAACTGATTTCCCTACGGAGAGCTCCACTCTGGTTTAAAATTAATTTCAGAGCTCATGAATAATTTAAAATTCAGCCATTACAACTTCTGCAGCTCCTTCCGCCATAAATGCACTCTGTGCAACATTATTCTGCATTTTAACAAAGTTAAAATATTCTTTTCTGCACTACTTTTGACAGGCATGAAATTATTTCTATTCTAGTTTTTATTTATTTATTTATTTATTTGTGAAGCGTACGACTAGGGGGCAGAAAAGCCATCGTCTCTGTGATTGTAGACTAATGTGCATTTATGCATGCTCACTTCACAATAGCTATCAATGTCCAGCTTTGTCTGAGCCTCCTACTCTCTGCACTGAAGGTAGCTAGTTGTGCACACGCACACACACACACACACACGCACACACGCACACACACACACACACACACACACACACACAGACACACACACACACACACACACACACACACACACACACACACACACACACACAGACACACACACACACACAGACCCATGCACATTCTTTTCTTTCGTTTTTTACCAGGACGGTCGATTTAACTTTGCCAGCTCAGATCAAATGAAGCAGAATCCACTTGAACTGCAGGAGAAATCCTCTGTCCTTTAGGCAAAGCTTATTAGAGCGATAGAGAAAGGCATCCATCACTAAAAATGTTCACCTGAGCGTGCATTGTGCTCAAAATCACCATTTGCACACAAACATGTACGTAACAGGAGAGCTTATATTAAACTTGTAAATGCAATTTAAAAAAGGGAGCCCAGATTGAAATGAAGGATTGGAAATAGAAGTTTTTAAACCCCGAACCCCCTCCCTGTGCCGACACGGCCCACATGCTTGCCTTGTAGCAAACAATGGAGAGGGGCCGCTCTCCTGAAATCCGATGAGCGAGAAAAAGAAAGGAGTAAAAAGTTTACGGGCCTGAATGTGCTGCCTTAACATGAGCACGACGGGGCTCGTCGATCATTTCATGATTTGTGAGGAATCACATGCTACAGTAGGGTTATCGGAGGTAACAGAGTTTCAGCAGCTAAAAAACAAGCAAATAACTATAAGTTATGTTGCGTACAGCGGGTGGACCTCAGCGTAAAACTAATCCTGTGTCATAACCCCAAACGTCTCATTATTCCAGCCGCAGATGGGTCCCCCTCGCTCCGCCCGATAAGACAGAAAAGCAGAGATAATTTTTCTTTTATGAAATGCTAGAGTTTCAAGAAATTCAATTAAGAACACACATTTGGCAATATTCAGAAGATGGAGAGCTTTCTAGGTGAAAAAGTGCCATTTCAAATTGAAATAGCATGACTAAGTGCAGCATTAAGAGTTCATTCCCACAGACAGCCGGCACACATCCCTTTATCATCCCGGCATTTTCCAAAACCCCATTACGGTATTTCATCTGTTTTTTCCTCGTCAGACTCCTTTAATCGGCAAGTTAGTAGAGGTCGCATCTGCCCCCCCCCCAGGACTCTAATCCACTACTAATGTAATACTGGACAGAGAGCCCGTGTTTAGATGGAACAGAAGGAAGGAGTGTTATTATGAGACAGCATCTCAAGACTTGTAATCAAGTTACAAGCCTCTCAATTCCCTAATCTTCTCCTTGTCAGGGGTTACAACTGTTAAATGGCCGGGCGTCTTGTTCCTAATTTACCTTTCTGATGTTTTACAGCGTGCGGTGGCAGCCGTCAGGTCACATGGACAAGGCTATTGTGTAGGGAAAGGAAAGGTGGCATTTTCCTTGGCTGGGGAAATCTATTTCTGCAGAGAGAAGCAGCATTCACAGAGAGCAGACAGAGGATGGGATGGGCGTTTGGGGTCACGCGAGGAAGCTGGGAATAACAAGAAAGGAAGCGGCGACAGACCTTTGCTGCATCTATGAAATTCAGCAGAACTTTGTTGATTGGTGCTTTTCTGTTGCAGACCTAATGAATCTGGACTGATCCTGCCCGCACGCTAGTGCATACTGCTTCATTTTAAATGGCATGACCACTATAAAATACCCAAAGTTCATCCATGCACTGAACCAGAGCAAGAAGGCTAAAGGAGCTCCGCCCTCAGCCATTGTTGAGTTTGGGGTCTGGAACAGAGTTGTGTTCTGCATGCACATTCTTTATCCCATCACCATAGAAAAGGGAAAACTGGTCAGCGTGAGTGGCTGTAAAAGGTCAACAGGCTAAAAGGCAGCATGAAAATAAGAAAGGGGGATTTTGCAAATACAAAATCACAATATAAGGAAGGTCAGAGGCCTGCACATAACACTTCCTCAAGCTTTTCCCAGAATCAGCAGTTAGATCTTACCGACTCGGATTTTTCCTACTGAAATGGATAATTTTAAAGGTCCTTGATTTAAAAAGAAATGTCCACTAAATATGTTCCTCTCATGTTATTTTATTTTTTTCCAGAACAGTGTCGCGGGTGTGAGCACGACTCGAGCTGCAGATGCATGAGAGGCTGGACCCACTTGCCCCGATCTGCTCCCTAGAGAAGACGACACTGGTTGTCTGCTCGAGGAAAAGAAACCGGTTCCCTGGATTAAAGTGTGCACACGCTCATCAAGGGAGCAAAGGATTGTGGGTTACCTGAAGACGTGGACTACGCAAGTGAGCAGGCCTGGATTGAGCCTGTGGCTGAGAGGATTGGCATGGCTCAGACCAGCTTTGTGTCAACCCATCATGTCAGCCGGGCCTGATGGCAGGAAGGAGCCTTTGTTGAAGCTCATGCTGTCCAACTCACGGATCACTATACCACGAAAAAAGAGAATCTAATGTGCCGTTATGGCTATTGAGCTCGACAACCCAAGCAGCCATTAGGATTTTTAATATCACCTGAGAGAGCACGCTGGTTTTTAGCCAGTGAGGATGCTTTTGGTGCAGGCTTATTTGCCATGGTAAAGGCTTTGTAAGAATGAGCCTTTGACAACACCGGGGAGGTCATCGTCCAAACAAGGATTAGCTCGGCAAATACTGACCAGGTCAGGAAATCACAAGCGACCCCTTGGACAAACTTTTTTTTCCTTTCACAGAGGATAAGAGCAGTTTCTAGCAGGAACCTTGATTGGATTTTTTTCCTTTTTCGTTTGCTGGAAAGGATTTACTGCCTTGTTTAAATCAGGTAAGGCAAATGCGGAAGGCCTTTAGTCTCCTTGGTCGCCTTCACCAACATCTTCAGCTGATATTTATGTGAAATGGGGTCATGGTAGGGATGTAACCTAAACGTTTCCATTTAGCATTAGCTTGATAAAAAGTTAGAATTCAGTCTGAAAAGCTGAATAAACACCTTTGATCCTCTCTCTACCTTTGTGTAGTTATACATTTTAACACTCTTCGTGAGCTTATGTCTTAACTTGCAGGACACCAGTTGTACGTGGGACAAAATAAATGAGGTTACTGAATTTAAGGTTTGAGTTAAATAAAAGATCATCGACCACATCTGCCCTTTGTTGACTCTTGTGCTCCGCAGTAAGACAGCCTTGGTGTAGGAAATGAGTCTAACCAGAGAACCATTCAACGTCGGACAGATTTTCAACACAGAGCCTTGAAAGTGTCTTTGATCAAATGAAAACTGCTATTTTAAAAAGTCTGTTATATCTTAAGTGTTTAACTCGATAACTTATTTTAGTGAAGAAATAAATTTTATTTTAAAATATCCAATATGCTAGCAGTGAGCTGTACTGTTCATTAGTAGTTTCTATCGTTCTAATTAAAAACTACAAACTGACTCTTTCGGCTGATGCTTTCATTGGAAAATCCAAACCCTGGTGTATAAAATCTGGGGTTTCACTGCCCATTAAAGGCCTTGCGTGTTAACATGTTTGTTGTGTTTCTCAGGGCCTCTTGAGTGATTGGTTCGCCAGGAGAAACACCTTCAAGATGGTTCGTCGGTGCAAGTCCTTCATCCTCTTCCTCATCAGGATCGGGCTGCTGCTTGGTCTTGCTAACCCGCTGGTCACATCTGCCTCGTGTCCTTCAGTCTGTCGCTGTGACATGACCTTCATATACTGCAACGACCGTGGCCTGACTTCCATTCCTACGGGTATTCCCCAGGACGCTACGGTGCTCTTTTTGCAAAACAACCGAATTAAAAGTTCTGGCATCCCTGCAGATCTTCGCAGACTCACGAATGTGGAAAAGATTTACCTCTACTGCAACAACCTAGATGAGTTCCCTACAAATCTTCCTCTTGGGCTAAAAGAGCTTCACCTTCAGGAGAACAACGTTCGGATGATTACCCATTCCTCTTTAGCCCAAATTCCCTACATTGAGGAGCTTCACCTGGATGATAACTCTGTTTCAGCCGTCAGCATAGAGGAGGGGGCTTTCCGGGACAGTAATCACCTGAGACTGCTATTCCTCTCCCGAAACCATCTTAGCACCATCCCTTCAGGCCTCCCCATGAGCATCGAGGAGCTGCGCTTTGATGACAACCGCATTTCCTCCATCTCAGAGCAATCGCTGCAAGATCTCATCAACCTGAAACGACTGATCCTGGATGGTAACCTGCTCAACAACCGAGGGATTGGGGAGATGGCTTTCATCAACCTGATCAACCTGACTGAGCTCTCACTCGTGAGGAACTCCCTGACATCGCCGCCAGCAAACTTGCCAGGCACCTGTTTGGAAAAGCTGCAATTACAGGATAATCATATTAATCGGGTGCCACCTGGGGCTTTTGCTTTCCTCAGGCAGCTGTATCGTCTGGACCTGTCTGGTAACAACTTGAGCAGCCTCCCACAGGGTGTTTTTGAAGATCTGGACAACCTCACACAGCTCTTGCTCCGAAACAACCCTTGGCAATGTACTTGCAGGATGAAATGGGTGCGTGACTGGTTGCGGTCGCTTCCATCAAAGGTGAATGTGCGTGGGTTTATGTGCCAAGGACCTGATAAGGTGAAAGGCATGGCAATTAAGGACCTAACCACAGACATGTTTGGCTGCCCAGATTCAGAACTCTTCTCCACATATGAGACGAGCACAGTCTCCAACACATTACGCCCATCGCAGCCCCTGTGGCCCTCCTTTGTCACTAAAAGGCCTGTGGTAAAAGGGCCTGACATCAGTAAGACTTACCACGGCACAACCATCTCTTCAGGCAAAAAGATCATCACCATCAGTGTGAAATCAAGTAGTGCAGACGCTATACATATATCATGGAGGGTGTCACAACCCATGACTGCCCTGCGGCTCAGTTGGCTAAAGCTGGGTCACAGCCCTGCCTTTGGCTCCATCACTGAGACCATTGTGCAGGGAGAGAAGACGGAGTATCTGCTCACTGCTCTTGAGCCAGAGTCCTCCTATAGAATTTGCATGGTTCCTATGGAGACCAGTAATATTTACCTGTCAGATGAGACCCCTGTTTGCATTGAGACAGAGACCAGTTCTCACAAACCATACCATCCAACTACAACGTTAAATCGAGAGCAGGAGAAAGAGCCTTTCAAAAATTCAAGTCTGCCATTGGCTGCCATCATCGGAGGGGCTGTGGCTCTGTTGGCAATAATCATGCTGGCACTAGTGTGCTGGTATGTCCACAGGAATGGCTCGCTTTTTTCCAGGAACTGCACTTATAACAAAGGTCGCCGAAGAAAAGATGACTATGCTGAGGCTGGCACTAAAAAGGACAACTCTATCCTGGAAATAAGAGAGACTTCTTTTCAAATGATACCTATAAATCACCTGCCGGTGTCCAAGGAGGAGTTTGTCATACACACAATTTTCCCACCTAATGGCTTAAGTTTATACAAAAGCCCACATAGTGAGAACAACCTTAACAACAGAAGCTACAGAGACAGTGGAATACCAGACTCAGACCATTCCCATTCGTGATATTGCACACGGACATTTACGATGAGTGTGTGACTAAAACAAAAGTGGCAAGACTTTCACAAAACACTGGATATATAGAACTAAGGGAGCAATGTTCTGTGCATTTGCCATATAATTTATATTTAAGGACATTTTATGAAGACTGAGAACGTTCCAGTTGCAGGCGCTTGCTGAGCTATCAGTGAATAACTACCTGCACATCTATATTTTAGGGATTTGTAGTAATTTGTACTGTACTTCCTTTGCTTAAGGTTATCAACCAACAAAAGAAACTCTGTGTTCTATTAAGATATGATGACTTGTCAACTGTGAAAGTGGGTTTTCATTGCTGTGTTGAACAATCAGACTCTAGGAAACCTTGTAGTATAAGCACAGGTCGTTCTTTTAACTTTGTGGCTGTTAGAAAAAGATTTTAAAAAAAGAAGAAAAATATGGCAAGACAGTAAATCAAAAGGCACAGATGATCAACAAATTCACAAAGCAGGCATGCTGTCCTCTAAAAGAATGAGCAGTCAGTAGCTATCACCACCTACTTTGGACCAAGAATTTCTTCTAGTATTCATCTAACGTGTGGTTATGGATAACTAAAAATAAGGTGCCACGTTTTTTTAATTTTAATATTTTATTTCCTCTTTGCTCGGTGCGTTGTTTATTTTTTTCTGTTTGCGAGTAGACGACACACAGAAACGCAGGGTTCCAACGTTACTGATAGGATTGTAGGCCTCAGCACAGGGCATAAAGCACATCAACCTTACGGAGCTCTCGACTCCAGACATGTAGAGCGGTCAGCGGACACAAAGAACCCCCAACCAACTCTTATTTGTACAAGCCAACAAAGGCCAAACGACAATAGCAGCATTGTTTAGTACCATGTACCATTCGTCATGCTACTCTCCAGGCCAAAAACAAAGCAAAACACACTGGCTTTCATCTGAATTACCACGGTGTCCACAACTTTTGTTATGATTATTATTATTATTATTTTTAAATGAACACACTTTTATGTTGCCACAGTTTGAAGTTCTTTACAATTGAAAACCAAAGTGCATTGTATGCCCTTTGGCCAGTCTTGTATGTGCCTTGATCTAATGCTTACTGTATTTAGCTTTTTAAGAGACCAGTGACTTTTTTTCATACACACTTGAATATGAAAATATTGGTCATATTAAAGAATAAAAGTGGACTAAAAAAATGTTTTTCTCCATGTCTTACATCGAGTATAAGAAAAAGCTATTTTCCTCAAATTATCTTCAGTTATAGTTACCTCGTTATGATTGCTTGTGCTAGATTTGACAAAATTATGACAATATTAATTGCCAAACGGCACAAGAACCTAATTTTACTGATGAAATTAATCAAAGATAATACCTAGAAATAGAAAAACACAACCTACAGTATTTTTGTCCTCCATGAACACAAGATAACTTGGCCCTTATAGCCAATTTTCATGGTACGGGACATCATTCGTAGTACAAGTCATCATTAAGTCTAGCACTGCTCTTTTCCACACCATCGGCATTACACACAGCAGCATCTGCTCAAGTCTGCCATTGTTCTTTCATGCTGGTATGTCATGTGTTACTTATCAGGTTGGTCCGACGGTGGAGCAGAAATTAGGCAGTAGACAGTGGACTCTAGGGTTTGATGAACCTCCGAGGCACGACGAGTCACCGTATGGAGGCTGGTACAGGCAGACTCTGCAGGGGACGTTCCTCTCTCCAGAGGAGGGAATATATACACACCACTTGAGACAGCACACTTATGATATGGTTGCATCTCACAGTGAATTAAATAGTATTCATGCAAAGCTGCAATATGGAAAATGAGATCATTTCGTACGTTTAAGGCTAACGGTGGTTCGTCTAAAGTTTATGAAATAGAGATTGCACCACCCGGTTTCTGAGAAGTCTTTTAAACAAAAGCATTTAATGTGCATCAGAGAAGCATTTTATCACATTCAAACAGCCAGAAGCTTTGTGAACGTTTTAATTACAGCAAAAGTAGCTGCAAAAGGCATCATAATAAGTTGGAATAAACAGAAGTGGTGGATTTTCCATCCTAGTGATGTCAGAGGTTTTCCACTAATAAAATCTTCAACATAAAGGGCATTTTATCCTAATAATATGAAATAAACATTGTGCTACAATTCATGGCACACAAGTAAATAAAAAATAATTCTAATTAAATGTTTCTTTATAAACCTTTGTTACCATCTTAGCCAAAACATGTCAACAAAGACTCTAGCTGGCCTTACATCAGCTTTGACTTATTTCCATAGTATCCAAACGTTAGGAACACAAGAATCTCTCGCAATGTTTCAAGAATTATATCTGAGACAGAGATTCTCCAAATGTTATGTATGAATGAGCCCACTGTGGTTCCTTAATGCAGCAGCCTTGTGTTTTCTTTCGTGCCCTTGAGGGTGAAGTACATGGGTCAGTAGTGAATGTGGTGTGTTGATCACTTCGAAGAGAACGAGTAAGCATTTTCACTAATTCACACACCTGAGTGATGAATTGCAGCTGAGTGAAACTGTGAAAGGAGCGTTCGATTGTTCCAACTTTCACTGAAAAATCAAGAATAAAACTGAGCTGTATTGAGGGTTTTCAGCTGAGAACAAGACTCCTGATGACCCTCCCTGACCTCACTTATCACTCCTCACCCCTTGACCCATCTGCTCTTCTAAAGAGTTAGTTCATCACTGTCAAGTTCTCGCTGGGGTCAGATAGTGCTCTGAACAACAGAAGCTGCCTGATGCATTTGTCTCTTGTGTCACAAATGCAGCTTGATTACGTTTTTCCTTTATGCAACGCTGTGATTAAAGCTAACGGGGCAGCTGCACCGTCTGCACGCAGCTTCTGTTATTCCCATTGTGATCGGACTGGTCAGGGAGTCGGTCACATTAGCATTCCTATAGATGCTTGCATCTGACTACCCCTCCATGGCCTCACCCACTCAGCAGCCTGAGCGTGGTTTTTATCTGTCAGCACCGTCAGTCGGATCAGAAAGTACACGCAACGTGGCCCTAAGACTGATTAGGAAGGTCAGGTCAGTTTCAGTTCAAGAATCTCAAGAGATGAAAAATTGATGCATATCAGCGCCAACAAAACACATGAACTAATCAGAGACTGTGAGAAGTAACCTGGACGCTCTGCTCCTGGAAAGACCTTCTGGCATTCATTACATTCTTCACAGCAAATCTTGAAACTATGGAGAAATCACTTTGGAGAAAAGGTCAAAGATTTCTCTAATGGTTTAAGTGGGTTGAGATCTTTTCAAAGTGATTGTTTGAGGAAATGCCAATAATTCCACTCTGAGACGATCAATGTTCTTTCTTTTTTATAGCTTTCAGCTGAAATGTTCACCTTGATTAGACATGTTAGGTTTGGAACCATTACCAAGTCATTTCTCTAACAAATGTTACGTAGCATCTATCAACTGGGACATGTTTTTTATGGAAACACCAAAAGAAAATATGATGCTGCTATTTAAAGTCATGGAGGAAAGTTTATTAAACTAAAAAACAAAGAACATTTTGTTCCAAGTGCGTAACCCAGAAAAAGACCAGCTGTTTTAAACAAAAAAAACGTGCTTCATCAACTGAGAGTGGCATTCCTAAACACACACACACACACACGCACACACACACACACACACACACACACACACACTGTAAAAAAACAAAAGGGGTGTTTGAGGTTTCTTCTCTCACATCAGATTGGACACAGAATGAACATCAAACATGCCCAGAGTTTAATGAGCAGTGATGATGTCAAAAGCTAACTCGAGCCGGAGGCCTCCCACTTATTTAGTACTCATGTCATTAAGTTAAATTAGCAAAATAATGACTCAATTTAAGAGACATAAAACAGGAAAAGTGTTGAGAATGGAGGTACTTACTTGTTTATCCTCGGCCATTTCTAAGGCACCATCATGTTTCGCACACAGAATTATTAGCAATTCCTTTATAATTAATGACTTGTAAATTTGTACTGTTTTCGATTTTGAGGGAAGATTTCAGTCATTATTTTCCCTCTAATTTTCCTCTGGGATTAGCTCTTATTTCCCTCTGGGATTAATAAAGTATCTTTGATTTGATTCGATTTGAATTCTTGCACCTCTGACCAGCTGATGATGATTTTGTCCATTTCTGACCAACTTAGTAGAAGATTGATCGATTGAATGTTTATTTGTGCTGTATAATGTTGCTTTCAGGAAGAAAAAAAACGTCAGTTTTCCCAGTCAGTAGTTGGTTTATTCTTCCTTGGTGAATTCCAATCAAAAGCTGATACCAGTTTTGTCCATTTCTGATTTTTCTTGAAGAACTGTTTTAGTTTTTAATCCTGAAAAACTAGAACCTCTAAACATCTTTCTTTATTACTTGTAATGGTGCTTTTAGATGGTTTCAGATGGGTCGATCACCAGCTGATTTTGTTTTGGTGCTTATTTAATTATTTGGAATCTTTCCCTCACAAAAAAAAAAAAGACTGGCAACACTTGACACTAAGGGTCCCTTTATTAATGTTTATTAGTGCATTATTAAGCCTTAATAAAGAAAGGGTCCCTTTATTACCGTTATTGTTAACCAGTGTCATTAAGGTTAGGACAAAAGACCGGGGGGTGCTATCTGCTTAGTAATGTATAATATAAAAAGGTTAAGCAGCTGTAGTTTATTAATGCTTAATTAAGCACTAAATAATGTTAACTCATTAACTGCCAGCCGTTTTCTGACCAGAAAAGCCCTGGAAAGCTAGCATTTTTCAGTGTTTTCACAGTTCTTTTGAAGAGTCACAGAACGTTGCACACGAGGATGATGTCAAGGCCAAAACTACCAAAACAAAGAGTAGACTCACCTCTTACATCAGGAGGAATCTGAGCGTTATCCATTCTTTCATTATCTGTTGTTGAATTGTGATCGGCAGAAGCGTTTCTGGTTCGCCCTTCACTTTTTTTTATAGCAGCGGCCCAAAACGATCGCCTAACACATGGATGTTCTGCTTCCTGATCACGTGACGTGTGATGTACGTGGATGAAGATCGGCTTTAGAGCTGGGATGTTTGGTATCACGATGCGGGGGCTCGTTCCGATGCCCACACAGTTGGCAGTGAACGGTTGGATTTAGAATAATGACTTTTGTCGTCAATGGCAGTTTATGAGTTAATAAAGAGATAAAATAGTCACATTGGTAAAATGTTACCAATAGATTTTTAACTGAAGGTAGAAAACAATGACAAAAATAAAGAGTATTGATAAAAAAAAGTCGGATTCTGAAAGTAGACATGACGTTCTGAACTGAATCAGTTGTGATATTGAGTTTGACATTCATGCATCCCTTAATCAGGGTTGGATGTGACACTGAACGGCTCGTGTGTGAATATCTCCATGTGTGTGTGCTCTTTTGTTTATGCTATTACGAACGTTAAAGCGGTTATGATTGCTTGTGCTTTCATGTGAACCAGTGCACATTGTTTATGGTAATCCGATGTGGTGACAATCAGAAACACTGACGGACGTGTACAGGAGGAAAATAACCTGAAGCCATCGCCTCCCTTCTAGCGAGTCGCGCCTTTACTGTCGTCTGTGACTTTGTCGCTCTCAGGCTCACGCACAACCTGTTCTGGCAGCAAAGAGAGCTGAGGAGTGAAAACTGTATGGTGAGACGTGTGTCACCCTATGTGGGGGTGTTTCTCTCTCTCTCTCTCTCTCTCTCTCTCCCTCCCCATCACCCCATCCTCCAGGCCAGGACCCTCTCCATCTCTTCACATTACTCAGTGACCTGAAACCACAAGGCCAAAAAACTTAACCAGCTCCTCCGTCTTCTTAATGAATCCAATTTTTTGCCTGAGAGCACAAGGCATGCACATATATTCATCGTGGCTCGGAATTGGCTGACATTAATATAAATTAACAAGAAGCGCCGTTATCAAGACCGTGCCAACCGGCAGACAACACAGGACAATGACGCCTCTAATTCGCCGTACGAAGACAGCAACTTATTGTGCACCCTCAAATACCGAGTCAATAATCTCATTTAAAATAGGCAATTGCCAAAACAAAAGCAGGGGAGCTGATTAGTGTTGATGCCATTACACTATAAATTATACGCAATATGTTATGAAAATATCCATATAATTGACTCCTCTCTGTAGCAGCCATTAATTCCTGTCTTCCATTAAGTGGTTTAAATGATCTAGTAAGAGGCCATACATCTCCTGATGCCCTTTATGAGAGCAACACCACGTTCCCCCTTAGAACGTAATCGACCCTAACTTTCATTTGTCTACAAAGTCCGACGCGGAGGAATAATCATTTCATTCCTAACGGTACTGATGGGTCCAGCTTGCCCATTACCCCCAGCAGGTTTGCAGCACTGCAGCTGGAGGCTAAAGCTCCCCTTCGATCCATTTGCTTCTCTCATTTATGTTAAGCCAGCTTTGAATGTCAGTACAGTATTTGCATGCCAATGTGGCTCTGTCTGCAGCTCATTATTTTCAGAAATTGACAGCCTAATCGCATGCAAGTTTAGCCCACTTTGTGAACCTAATGCCTGCTATAGTCAAGAATTACTGAAAGCAAGCAGAGTTTTATTAGCCTGGCAAGCCAGACTATATAAATGCATTATTTTGCAAAGCAAGAATTTGGTCTAGTTCACTAGGCTAGAGTTGTATAACTGCAGCAATCCTCTGCAGCCGTCCGTTTCACTCTGGTTTTCAGGTGTGAAACAGAAATAAACTCACTATAATATGAGGAAATGCTCAGGGCTGACTTTTAAACAAGTATGTTTATCCACAATTACGTAATGATAAAGCTATCATGTGTAGAGGAAGACCAATTCATTGACCCTAACCATTGAATAAATAAAGAATAGGACATTTTGCTTAATAATTGGTCATCAGCCATGCCTGTAAATACCTGGCCGGTTACCAGGCAGGAAAGACCAAATGCAGCAGCTGTTATAGCCATCTCCCTGCAGCCCACCATTGGGTTATTTTAGGCTAGAATGTGATCTTGTTTATATCCATCCATCCATCCATTGTCTGGACCCGCTTAGTCCACGTAGGGTCAGGGGGTGGTGGTGGTGGGGTAGGGTCGGGGGTGGGGGGTGGGGGGGGGCTATCTCCAGCGGTCAATGGGCCATCAGGTGGGGTACACCCTGGACAGAGAGCCAGTTCATCAGGACAACACAGAGACACACAGACAAACAATCACACACACACACACACACACACACACACACACACACACACACACACACACACACACACACACACACACACACACACACACACACACACACACACACACACACACACACACACACACACACACACACACGTGTGTATGCACACAAATAAAATCAACAAAAACGTAAAACAGAGACATAGTACAATGCTAACTAGGCTGAAGTAAAAGCCAAGGAATAAAAATGAGCCTTCAGGTGTGATTTAAAATCAGAGAGAGGGGCCGTTCTCACTGATAGAGGGAGTTGGTTCCAGAGACGAGGTGCACAGATTGAGAACACTCATTCTCCTCGTGTCCTCATCCCAACACTTGGGACCTGTAACAGGCGGTGGTCTGCAGACGGAAGAATTCGACCAGGTATGTAGGGCTGAACCAGCTGAGTCAAGAACAGAGGCGCTTAAAGATATAGTGACTTAAAAACAAGAAGTAAAACTTTAAACTGGATGCGGTAGTGCACCGGGAGCCGGTGCAGCTGGGCCAGAACAGGAGTAACGTGCTCCCTCCGTCTGGTGTCTGTCAAAAGGTGGGCGCCGCATTCTGAACCAGCTGTAGGTGCGCAACCGAGGAGGATGTGGATCTATAAAAAAATGGAATTTGCATAATCCAAGTGAGAGATCACAAATGCATGGATCACTGTGTGCAGGTCGCGTCTAGTCAGGATGGACTTCATCTTTGATAGCCGGCAAAGCTGGAAAAAGCAGGATCAAATCCCCTGGCTAATGTAGGAGTCCATACGCAGCTCTGGGTCCAAAACCACCCCCAGGTTAGTGATGGTTGGCTTCACTAAGCTGCAAAAACAGGGTGGCAGGACAGGACAAACTGCAGTGGGAGAGGGAGGAACAAATAAAAGAGCCTCCAACTTAGACTCGCTCAAATGTAAAAAGTTATTATAAAGCCAGCCCTTCACCTCATTCAGGCAATCCACAGCCGGTTGCACCAACTCTTGAGGTTTTAATGAAACATTAAATTGGCAGTCATCAGCATACAAATGACAAGACACCCCATGTCGCCTAAAAATAGTTGCCAGAGGAAGAATGTAAAGATTAAAAAGCAGAGGTCCTAAAATAGAGCCTTGGGGAACACCACAGGGCAGAGAGGAGGCTTTGGAGGCAAAATCCCCCAGCCTCACACAAAAACTTCTGTTGCTGAGGTACGATCTGAACCAGTTCAGGGCAGTTCCCTGGATACCCACTACCTGGTTCAGTCGGGACAAAGTATAGCATGGTATACGGTGTCAAAAGCAGCTGTGAGATCCAGCAACACCGGTAGAACATGGGAGCCGGGATCAGTGGACCGCAGAACATCATTAAAAACTCAGTCTCAGTATAATGACCAGGACGGAACCCTGATTGCAAAGGGTCTAAAATGTTAAAAGTCTACAAATGGTCAGAGAGCTGTGTAAAAACAACTTTCTCGAGAAGCTTAGATAAAAATGGAAGCTTCAATATGGGGTGGAAGTTTCCCAAGGAGGTAGAGTCCAACCCGGCTTTCTTCAAAACTGGTTGGACCACTGCCTGTTTGAAAGCCGGGGAACAACTCCAAAGGTTAAACTCCCATTCACGATATTTAAGATAAAGTGGCCAACCACAGGAAAAACCTCTTTAAAGGGGCATTATGGAAGTTTGACAGCAAAACATGTATAGAAATAATAAATGTCTTCTTCATACATTCTCCTGCAATGCCCTGGTCCTGTAGAATGAGCCCTGGCATTTTTACTGTGATTGCCTGTTTTTCTGTAAAATCACAGAAAAAGAGAGATGCTCGGGTCGAGCAGGCTGCTTCATGCGCGTTCACGCTCAGGCATCGCCCGTAGCATTTGCTATCCGTAGCTTTAGCAGCAGAGAGAGAGGCAGTGC